CACACACAGAGACAATTACTCTTGCCGTCAGACCCCCAGCTAAGCTCAGCAGATTGAATTAGAGCCTCTCAGACCAAAGCACAGAATCTTTTCTCAAATTTTTTACGACTCATCCAGGGATTCACATCATCAGGGGAAACTGAGATATTAAAATCATTTTTAATATCTCACCAGTCGCCCCCTGGAGGCTGGCTGCAGTACAAGACATGAACCCCGCCTCCTCCACGTTAGCATACGGAGCACGGACCAAACAAAAAAGAACTTTTTTAAAGAACAGGATTTTCTATCTATTCAAATAAAAGCCTCTGGAACATGACGGCTGAAGGAGATGAAGCTTGAGCTGTGACTGGACTGTGAGATGTCATCTGACAAAACCAGCTGTAAACAACATTTATCAGATTTTTACACCGGTTTCGCGTCTTCAGCCTCTTTTGAGAATTTCCAGAAAGAAGTTCTGTTCTGTCCGGAGCTTTGCTAAAGGCCACAGAGGGTTTCAAACTCAGATATCCACATTTTATTTTATTTTCTCTCGCTCCGTCCTGCCCGCCACCCACAGAAACAGCCTCCAGCCGGGTCTTTGACCAGCTGAACCATCGGTGGGGAAGCCAGTTTACGCTCCCTGTCTTTCCTTTTGGGCGGGAGACGGAGGGACGGGGCTGAAGTCTGTCCCTCACGCCTGCTGTGAGGGGGACAGGGAGGTCATGTATACAAATAAGAAAAAGGGTGACAGAGGTGGAGGACGAGAAGAAAAACAGAAAAGTAGAAGCTATAAAGGACGAAGGAGCTTTTGAAATTGTCTCTTCAGAGATGCAGACATGCTCTGTGAGATTATCCAAGATAAAGTAAACTTTACGATCACGATGAAGGAAAAACGACACAGGTATGAAGAAAGAATGCAAGAGAACAGTGAAGGTGTGAAGAGCTGAGAGTCAAGTTACATGTGTCACCTGAAATCAACTAAAATTCATAGTTTGCAGTTAGTTCCAGCAAAAGTCTGCACTTACTGTAAAAGCTGAACCATAGAAGCATCACACAGAAGTGTCAGATTGTGTTGTTGTGTTGTGGTTGATGCAGCCGACCGGCCGCTCAGCGGGGAGCAGGGACGGACTCTTTACAGCGTCTGGGCGTCGCTCACTTGTTTTTCTGCCCGAGTCAGAAACAACAGGAGCTCTTCCCCTTAAATGTTTACGACTTTAACTTGAACTGTTTCTTTGAGACTCTGGAGATGATGAATGATTTATTCGTCCATTAGGAGCAAACTTCAGTCCCCTCAGTTAACAATCTGTGACATAACTTTTCAGAACTCGTGTTATCGCAGATTGTGTCAACAAATAAAAAACTAATTTCCCTTTATGACCAGACGATAATTAATGTGCGGTGACATGATTCACAACAGTGACCCGATCAGCGCCTCCTCATTTGTTGATACTGTGGTCTGACAAAGACATAAAGTTTCTTTCACAAAAAAACGCCCTTAAATTCAGCATCTATGTACAAGTACTTTCTTACAAAAACGTAGTCATTGTAGAAGTTTAGTTGGAGACGATAACGACTAAATGATGCAACAATGCTTGTGTTTGCTTTTTATTGATATTATTCATACGAGTCGGTTTCATTAGTTTGTTTTCTTTTGCCTGAGGTCCTCAGAGTCCCTTGAAACGCCGCTGCAGTGAGGACACAGTCATCCGCTCAAAGAGAAATCCATTTTGGAGTTTCATTGATTCAAATGATCTTTACAAAAAGATAAATAAAATAATATTATTCAGACTTGTGTATAAAACCCTCAGGCCTGTTGTTGCTTGTTAATGAGTTTTCTCTGTCTTCGTCAGATTTTGCTTGCATGGAGCCGCTGGGCATGGAGTCGGGGGAAGTTTCCTCGGAGCAGATCAGCGCCTCGTCCCAGTACAACCCCAACTGGTCCCCTGAACGCTCGCGCCTCAACTACCAGGAGAACGGCTGGACGCCCTCGGACGACACCGTCAGGGAGTGGATCCAGGTCAGTTGGTGTTTCCATCCCTCCTCCGCCGCCTGTCTGTCGGCAGGATCACGCAAAAACTACGGAACAGAGTTAATTGAAACTTGGCGGAGGGGCGGGCCGAGAACCAAGAAAGAACTCAGTAACTTTTGGAGCAGGAATTATTTTAAGATGGCGTCACTTGAATTCTTACTTGAGAAAAAGAACAAACATTGGTGCTCAGTTTAGAGCTCGATCTCAAAGTGTAGAGTATATGTTGGTTCACTCTCAGAGAAACGATGTCGTCTGAGTTTGAACTCGTCTGTGCCGCTGAGATCTTCTGCTCACATCTGGTCTGAATATTGTTCACTCATTTGTCCCACTTCTCTGCATGTTATATGGATACAGAATAAAAAAGGAAAGTCAGGATGCATTATTTAGTGGAGCCTGCCGCTCCTGCACAGTTGACATTTGTCACTTTCATTGTGAAATCTGACGTAGCAGCCTGAAGTCGGCGAACACGGTAAAACAGCAGCTCAGTGTTTTTCAACGTGTTCAATCTTTTTCTGGTCGAGGACAAGCTTCAGTCGTGTTTGGCTCCGTCAACACAAATTCCTGCATCTGTTTCAACCTTGAACCACAGAGATCATGTTCAAGCACAAGTTATTATTACTGTGGTTATTACAGTAATTACTTCCTCATTATAGATAAACTGCTGAGAACAACAACATCCAGGCTTTGATGAGGTTGAGACTCAAACAAATTACTATAATATGAAGTATTATGAAGGTTATTATTATTATTCACGAATGTGGAAGAATCTAAAACTATTTTCTTTTCACATACAATCTTATCTTAACTCGTCGTAGCCACGATGAGACAAGATGTTCGTGTTTTAAATCTCGAGGTTTGGTTTTAAAATGTGATTCAGCTTCCGCAGCCTGCGGAGTCCTCTGATGTGTTTGGATTCCTCCTGGTGCCAGAATCATAAGACGTGGCAGGAAGACAGGTCACCGGAACTCCAGATACGTAGGAGTCGTAGTCCCCTTGTAATTGGGCTTTGTGTTTTTCTCAATAAGAAAATAGTAAGGTGCGGCCGCGGAACTTCACGACTGTCCCATTGTCCGTGACAGGAACTCATACAGGAAGACTCACAATGCCCCTCGCAGTAAGAACAGGCCGTCACTTCCTTCCTGAGGGGGTTACAACAGGAAGCAGACAGAAAGACGGCCTCAGCGCTGGATTAGTCCGAGTGGCTCTCTATTGTCTGTCTGGGGACTTCTTTTAGCTACCGGGCAGCAGCTGAGCCCTCTGGGAAATCATGATATGAAGGGTTGTGCTTTAATGGAGGTTAATGTGTGTGTGTGTGTGTGTACGATGAAAGCCTGGATTTACCTGGAGGTCGTTCACTTACGTCAAATATATGTAGGATTAACGTCTCTTCCTAATATTTTTTTTTCATTTTAGCAAGATTTTAAATTTTAAAAATGAAAAGAGACTTTGGATTTTTGGTTGTACATGTTACACAAGACAAGAAAATGAAGTATCCCGGATACAAATGTTTGTGGTGTCATTTGGAGCCAGAGTCTGCGAAGGAGCGATCGGCCACTAACATGGAGGAGGCAGGGTTTATGACCTGTTCTAGATGCATACAAACTCTCGACCCACCCAAAGTTAAGAAGATCAGATAAACAGCACTCGAGATTATTCAAAACTAGAATCCAGACGGACAGAGAGTCCTCAGATTAGATTTAACAGACGGATCCTAAAGTCAGGCAAAGACGACTTCATGCCTTCAGTTACATCTGCAGCTTTTTAATTCTACAAACGAGACTCGATTACCAACCAGGCCGAGCGCAGGCCCGACCCATCGGGGACGTCAGAGGCCCCGGGTTCACTCAGCGGCAGTGAGTGCACAGTAATATGATTAATAATAGATAATGTTCCAGCACAGGAACACTGGTTTGTTTTTGAGCCTCTGGGCAAAGTGTCACTAAACTGGCATGTGAAGCTAATCTGCAGCGTGCACTCTACCTGCAGAACACTTCAATATACAACAGGATACGTCCACAATGCAGGGGCCGTGGGTGGAACCGGGGGGGGGGGGTCCATTTGTTTACACAAGAAGTCTGGTTTATTTTCATTGTTTAATTACTCCTGCAGAGGGAAGTGCTGTTCGCTGGGGTCAGGTCAGGAGGAAGGAGAAAGTAAAACCATCTCTGTAAGAATTTAATTGTATATTTTATAACATTGTTCGATAAACTCAGTTCAACCTGCTGGGAAGTCTCACCCATGACCTCTCGCTCCATCCAGCGCTCAGTTTTTTCATTTAAAACAGCACCAGGCGCCATGTTTGCAGATTTCAGTTCTCTTGCGGTGATTCGATGAAAGTGCTTCAGTAGGATATCGGAGGTTTTGGCTCCTCTGCGTTGGTCAGAGGTGAATCTTGCAGCTGACGCCAGTGTTGCGTCCAAGAAAAAAACCGACAGAGATGAAGTGTTTGCTTGTCTGCACCTCTGATGATGTAATGTTTGAACGACTGGGGCGTTCATGTTCCTGGTAGTAACAACGTGATGATATTAGAGTTTCAACAGCATTAACAAAATGAACCAGTTCACTCATTTTCTCCATTTTAATGAGAAAAACTACTTTTTTGATGCACTTTATTAATAAAAACTTAGCGAATACAACTTATTAATGTTTATCAAACAGTCAAACTGTGAAAATGTGCTTTAGAGTCATGAGTTTTTTAACAGAGAGCAAACTTAACCAACTCTTTTGGAACCTGCTCCTCGACTTGTGTCCCCACGGTTCTAAATCTGAACCTATTTATATTTCCTGCAGAAGTTTTCCTTGTTTTTGTTTTTATAATTTAAATCCAAACTTTTGATCCCAACAATTACAGTGAAAGTGAAAGCTCATTTCTCATGCGATAAAGCACCTGCCACAGTTTGCTGAGCATGGATCTGCAGAGCCTCTACCGCCCGACCTCTGACCCGCCCGGGTGTTTTCCATCACGCTCGGTTGAGGCCGTTCCTCGTTCGGCTCAGCGACCGTGAGATTTGCAGCGGCGACCTCTCAGTCACACGCTCTCCTCCTCCTGCAGCCTGCAGGCCGGTTTTCTGTGTGAGGACAGTTTTCTGTTCCGCTGGCACCGACCGTCCCCCTGCCACAGTGATTTATAGCCTCAGACGCAGAGCTGCTGCTCGCCCTCCGACTCTCTCAGCCATCTGAGTGATGACTGGTGGTTTGTGTGAAGAGAATATCCCACTTTATTTGATTAAGTGTGATGCGTGGCCAACTCCGCACAGCATGGTTTGCCTCACAGCTTCCCATTCATCTTACTTGAAAAAGAAAATTATGACTTGGTTAATTCTTGCATGTCTGCCTCCTCCTCTGCAAACACCTCTATTATTCATTTAAAGGCATTTATATTTTATTGATACTATTTCCAGGTTACTATTCATAATGTTGTCGGGTGATGTTACCCATGGCAATTTGGATGGCGGCAGACAGTCAGCTCATTATCTTGCTTTATGATGAATCTGTAATCATATTTTTCACTTCAGTGACTCATTTCATCAGCGTGCTGGTGTGTATGTGCAGTGAAATGGAAATACTGCATTTGATTGCAAATATCCACATTTTTATTTAAGTGAGGTTTGACAGCAGATTTAACGGCATTGCTCACGAAGAAACATTTTACTTATGCAGCAGGAAAATGAAAGCAAAGTAGAAATGAGCTTTAAACTTGGTATTTAATGTGGAAATTATAGATTTATTCACATTTGCAATATTAAAGATCACTAAAGTTGGGTTTTAAATACTTGACTCCATCTTAAACACAGAAAAGACAGAAGTGAAAATGCTTTAAAAATCAGATCAGATAAAAATACTGGCTCTATATGTAAGAATGTGTCCTACAGTGGTCAGTGGGTGCATCTTTACAAGCTGCAGTAAAGTGACTTGTTATTGAACTCTGTGACGTCAGCCCAGGAAAGGCTTCCTTCCCTCCTGACTCCAGGTATTTATAGACGCCCTGCTGTTTGTCTTCAGGATCTTTTTGACGCCACCAGGAAGAGCTCAGTGTTGCATCTGGAGAACACATTTGGGTTTTGTGTGAGAGGAGGTGTGTTGTCGAAGCTGGGACGGGCAGGAGGGGCCTACAGAGAGCGCTTGAGTGTCTGGTGATCCAGAGCGGACCTCTAGAGTGAAGCCACAGCGATCTCACGAACCAGGAAATATCAATAACCGACGGGAACCTCCACTGTGTCTGTGCTAATCATGGATCTAATGTTGTTATCAATAAGGGGGAGGAGGCATGAGAGTAATGAACTTTGATTTATCACAGAAAACAAAGATCTAATGAGCTTTGGTCTCATTTTGGATTTAAACCTCAAGGCTGTTAAACGGAAGTGTTTCGGAAATGATTCCTCTTTTTTTCCTCAGAGTCGTTTTACGATCCTGTAAACGTCAGCCATCGGATTAACATAATCGTGTTAAAGTTCTGAATAAAAGCATTACGTGATTATTCAGCAAATCAGATCAGACGCTTTGTGTAAAGTCGAGTTTTGTTTATAATTTCACTACACATCATTTAGATCATGTATTTTGTATTAAAGACTAGTATTGCAGTGACTACTCAGTAATTAGTTAATGATGAAGTTATAACTACTGAGTACTCAAGTAATACTAATGCAGTGACGACCACTGAGCTCAGCAATAATTAAGAATAAGCTGTAGCAGATATAATTCTCTTGTATTTCTTAGTATAGAAACTTGTGCATGTGGTGAAAATGTGTTTTTCTTTCTCTGGATCCTCGGGGGTGGGGGTGGGGGGTGTGGGGGGGCGGACGACTCTTCCTTGATTTAAAGCTAAACCCTGAGAAATATCCGACTCTCTCTAACCGTCTCTCTTCACTATCACTGTTGCTGCAGTGTCCTGTTCTGGCAGGAGGTAGCCGCCTTTTTGTTCAGTCTGGTTTAGACACGCTCAGACTGAATTATGTCTCCTTCCTGCATTTTGTTCCCTTCGTTAAAAAAGCTCCAAGTGAGACTATTTTCTGTGGCGAAGATGGAGCCTCTGCCAAGTGTTGAGTAATTAGAAGATGGAAGAGCAATTAGCTTTAGTCATTGTACTGAGGAAGTCTTTGACCGGCTGCTCTAGAAAACATGGAATGACAGTGAAGCGGATCCAATAGGTGACTGTCTTCACCAGCTTTGCTTTATTTAAACCCAGTTGAACCCGTTATCTCATTCTACACCAGCACATTTATTTAATATTATTTATCTGGATTTAAAATAAGCCGATGACCCACCGCTGCGTCCCTACGCTGGCTCCCTGTTAGATTTATGACCTTAAACGGTCCTAAATACCTCTGTGAATTATCGACCTGGTGTTTGCCCTCTCGACCGCTGAGATCCACGGATGGAGTCCTGCTGATTACTCCCAGTCACAGTGGGCGGCAGAGGGAGACCAGGCGTTCACTGTTCGATCCCCACAGCTCTCAGCCGACCGAACACACATAAGTCTTTAGTTTGAACCTCAACTCGAAACCTTTCTTTTCTGTGACGCTGAAGAAATGTTTGACAGAGGTTTTTATTTCTACGCTTTTATTAATTTGATTTTAAATCCTCTTTGCTCGTATTCTCTTTGTCGTGGTTGGTGTTATTTATTTTCTTGTGTTTGTTGCTAAGCTACAATACTTGTGTCATTGAATTACCATATGTATGTGTTTTAACACCCTCGTACATTGAGGTTGCAGTAAATAAGACCCTGATTATTCACACTGAAACACACAAAGTCTTTGTGTAGCACGCCTGTGATTCCAGAATGCAGGTGGAACATATTATATCATGCTGACTCTCATATTCAGGTTAAATTCAGATTTTAACTAGAAAAGTTTTATCCTCTAATGTTCAGAAAACACTTCCCTCCATTGCTGCTGCTCCTCTCTTCAGCCTCTGTCTGAAAACACATTGTTCAGGGGCGTCAGACCAGCTGCTAGGTGCATTACACAAATATAATATATCACCACAATGGGGTGGAAGTATATGGACTTGGGGCTTTGTAACTTTGCAGAAGATTTACATTCACAAAACACGTCTTTAACAAACTACTTACAGAAATGATGGGAAACCGATAATTCTCAATCTTCTTTGTGACTTCTTCACTTTGTAACACAACTCTTGACGCTAACAGAAGTTAGCTTGTTTCACATGCGCGGCGTATTTGTCACATACAGCGTGTGTGGTGTTCAGGGGGTGGGGGGGATAAATCTCATGGGAACTTAGATCAGGAAGCAGCCGGGAATGACGATGGCGAACAATCCCACAAAGCCTGGTTTCCCAGGGGTCTCCCCGTCAGTCACAGAGCCCCAGCAGACCGGCGGGAATCTATTTTCTTCTCTGTTCCTGAGTGAGCATCGGTGGGAAAACTTCGAGGCCTCCGGTTCCTTCCCATGTACAGTATCGTGGTGATATAATTACACACCATATATTACCCCAGCATCCATCACTCTGAAGGGTTGAGTGTATTTTGGTCGCAACTGACGATTTTCAAACTCAACAAACAAGCAATTTAGTTAAGTTTAAGTGGAGTGAAATGGAAATGACCTCGTTTAATACCCAGTCATGAAAATAAATCGATTTCACTTGGTGCTTTAATACAGTTGGAGGAACTTGATGTGATAACTATATATGGAGCTGCAGTCTCAGTGAAGTCATCTTCATTTTAGATAAGCTTCAGTATTTGTGGACTGATTTAAAAAAGAAACCCAGTGTAGAGCTCCGTGTTATCACCGCTCCTCACTTTGATGATAACTATCTTTTTTCTTTTTCAAGCACATTGAGCGGCCTTGTTTCTCGACACCGCTCCGCAGCAGTGAGATTAAAAAGCCTCGGCCATTTCAAAAAGACTTTTTATCTGTTGTTTGGGGCCCTAGATGATAATTTAGTGAAACACTGGGGGAGAAAGTGTCGTCACGAGATGCGATAATGTCGCCGTAATTTCATTTTCAGTGACCTATTTGAAGGATTTCTGTGAAACTGTTTATTCCAATCACCCTCTGTGTAAAACCAAAATTAAATCACTTCCAAAAAAAGGCCGTTTTATAAGGTTAAGTTCTTATTTTTCTTTTTTAGGACGTCTGTGGAGACAAGGTCTGAGTTTGTTCGCTGATCTGGGAAATTAGTTTATTCAGTCTAGTCGTACAATCAAACTGGTCATTGACCCTTTGGACTCTGACTCACGTTGGTTATTTTAAGATGTGAAAGTTCATCACCTCGTCTCAGCAGATAACAGTGGAGGTCTGTAGAGTCCTGACAGTTTTTAAAATCCTTATTTGTCCAAAACAAAACATCAACATGGAAGTTGAGCGATGCTGCTTATTTCTCAGCTTCATCCTGAAGTCACTTTGTCCACTCACGAGGTCAGAGGTACCGGAGACATGGAGACAGAATTGTTGAATGTTGAATACATGGAATGAAACTTTGAATTTATACATTTGTCTGTCTGTCCGCAGACCGCTGTGTGAGTAACGTGCCCATCGAATACGTTCAATCCTAAACTAAATACTCAGCCTGCATTGGTCTATGAATGTGGGTGATTCTTATTGTATCTAAACAATATGTGAAGAGCTTCTCTTTCAGTTCATGAAGTCCCCGTAGCCGCAGCAGCTTCAGAGCGCACGGCCATTCACTGTGTTTCACCTTCATTACATCACCTGAAAACTATGTCAAGCTGACCATACAGTGTCCGGGGCCCTTCCTTGAGTACGGGTGGAGATTGTACACGGGGTGTTGTCGGGCACTCCTGTGATATTGAAGACATGCCGAGGTCGGCCTGATAAACAGCTGCCTGTAGTAGTAGGTCTGACACGATTAAAAAGGGAGCGAACCTTCCTTGTCAGATGAATGGTATTGGGGCGGGGCTATCGGGTCCAGTGTGTTACTGACGTCCTCATAGTTTAATATTGCTGCAACGAGACTGTGAGCGGACTAACTCATTGTCACTCACTTTTAGCTAAAGCACCCACGCGTTACACAAGATGGCCGCAGGCACTGCGGTGAAGTCTGACGTCAGTCAAGTTTCATTCAATATATTCAAAGGTTTAATTTCCTGAACGGCATTGCCATAATATATATATATATATATATATATATATATATATACACACACACACCCTACAGGTCACACTCTAGTCATTAGTGATGCGGGTGGACAAGCGTAAAATTGATCCAGAGCTGGTTCCCACCACACACACACACACAGTCTGCTGGATCAGCACCCCAAGGCTCAGACCTCAGTTTCCTGGATCCCCGACTCAACTGGTTTGAATTAAACCTAAACATAAAACACATTTTGCTTCATCTGGTTCTAAATTGAAAAGAGCAACATAGGATTTATTCCGAAACCTATGGTGTAAATGATCAAGATTCATGGTTTATATACTGAGAATTATGTTTTCGTGTCTATTTCCACAATCAAAATGACTGAGAGGATTTTAAAAAGCTATTTAATCTGCCGGCGCCTCGTCTCATCAGGTGTAAGTGGCTATTTGAAGAGAAAATGATGGAGGAGTTCTCATTACTTACAATACTTGTCAGCAGTTTAGTAGTGAAGTATAAAGACTGCATAATTTCCCCTCAGAGGTCTTGGTTATGTGGTGTGCGTCTGTCTCTCCAGCGTCCTGCTCTGAATTTCACTGTCTACTTATGGACGGATCACGGTATAATTAATGAGATCCGAGGCCTCGTTGCTTCAACCGAAACACCGGCAAGAGACCGAGGAGCATTTGTATGATGATATTTTGTGTCTTTATGTATAAGTGGGTACTAAGTAGAACGTTTTAACTCACAGATTACATCCGCTCGTAACGTAAAGAGGAAATCTCTGAAGAATTTTTTATTTTTTTTGTAGAAAATTTGCTTCTTTTTGATCCACTTACACTCTTTGACATTTTAAGATCCACTTAGAACAAACACAACCTTGTGCCGGAGCAGACTCGGGTTTAATTCAGAAGTTTTGCACCTTCAGGCTCTCATTTCCTTTGAGTGTTTTTTTTTTTTTTTTAAGAGAGCTGGTGAGAGCTTTTCTCATTTACTGTCCCTTTGGATGTTCCAGCACAAATCCACTTATCCCTCATGTGCCTCAGATGAACTCCAGTCACTGACACAACTTAACCATTGTCTGCAGATTTCAGACACTTATTCACATTTAGATATATATCTCAACTATCATCCATTACTTTCAGTCATACATGTATATTTCACGCAATATTCATCACTTATATACTTCTATTCTAACCCTAACCCTTTTTAAACCATCACTTTTTCATATGTATTTATTGTTTTTCGTCGTATATTTAAACTGTTTATCCTTTTATTTCCGCCCTAGTTTTACTTTAACTACTTCATCTTCCACCACGTTGGCCTGAAACATTTGCTCACTGTTTCTGCTCATTCAGTCGTTCATGTAGTGTTTCGTTGTTACGGCCGAAACAAACATGTCGATCTTTTTCTTTAAAGTCAAATCTCCATTTCTTGGAAACTAGCTGAGCTGCTCTGAGCGCCCTCGTGCAGCCATGTTCTCCCTGAGGTCTCCTGGTGTTGATCCCGAAGGTTTCCACTGACTCCTCGTCTTTCTCTGTGTTTCCAGGTGGACTTGGGATTTCTCCGCTTCATCACAGCCATCGGGACGCAGGGAGCCATCTCAAAAGAGACCAAGAAGCATTACTTTGTCCGCTCATACAAAGTGGACCTGAGCTCAAACGGAGAGGACTGGGTCACGGTGAAGGAAGGCTCCAAGCAGAAGGTGATAAAGTTAATGACGACTCATTTATGCTGTAACAACCCTTGTTGATATAATGAGTAACGAAGGACTCTGCATTCTAATCGATGGGAGGGAAGTGTGGACGACTGAATCAATGTTTTCTGAGCCCGGCGACGTTTGGCAGCGTGCCTAATGAGAACGTCTGCTTTACATCCTCACTTCGCTCATCACGATCTGAAGCGGTTTCCACGGAGGAGCACTGCCGCACAGGAAGTTCTCTGACTGACAGAGTTTCTCATTTAATAACATTCCGATGGACAGGTTACAAGAAACACTGTGTAAATATCACATGTTTGAAAAATCTCAGCTACTGGTAAATGAAGCCAAGGAGAAAAACATCTGGTGCCTTGTGTTTCAGTTTCAACAGAAAGAGAGGCTTGAGGTGTTTGTGGTCACAGGTCAGGGGTCAAACCAGGTTCTGCTTAAACCGCAACACGCCAGGAAACAGCAGGAGAACTTACAACAGCAGATGGTTAAAGTGACCGGGGCATTGAATCTGTAGTAGCTGCACTTCATACCTAAACTACAACGTGAAACCAGAACTAACCAGATCAAATCTAAACAATGGATCAGACACATGATCTGATATCTGTGGAACAAGTAACAAAGTGAACAGAGGCACTGATATGTGATTTTCTCGTCTTCAGATCTTTGAGGGGAACCACAACGCGGTGGCCGAGGTTCAAGCTTTTCTTCCCAAACAGTCTCTGGCTCGCTACATCCGCATCCGCCCCATGACCTGGGAGCAAGGCATCTGCATGCGCTTCGAGCTCTACGGCTGCAGAACATCAGGTAACAAACTCACCAACGTCTCCGTCCCTACAGGGATCATTACAGTTTAATGTCATCTCAGGTTTATCTACTGTAACACACACATGCAGGTTTGTGCTGTTTATCTTCTAAAGAAGCAAATTATTTCCAGATATTACGGCATTATGATATAACATGGGTCAAATTCATCAGTTTTAGTTTCTTTTTATTTAACCTGATTAGTTTGTCTTTTTTAAGAGTTAAACAAATTTTCTAAACCCATGATGTACTTTCACATTGGACACAGTTATACGAAGAAAAATATTAGTTTAAAGGCATTAATTGATTTCCAGAAGCCTAATTTGTACCAATGCTTAATGGACCTTCTTTATTTTTTTCTTCTTACTTTAACCTCTTTTTATCGAACCTGATCCGTTTGGATGAATACTAAGATATAGATGTAGAAAGCTGTGATGTGCTTTCACACGTCCAAATGTTTTTTTTAGACATTGGAGACAATTATACAAAGAAAAATGTTCTTTTAAAGACATTAATGGACCAAAACCTGGTATTGATTCGTACAAATGCTTAATGTACCTTATTGAAGACAAATTCTTCATTCAAAAGGCTTTTTACTCTGGAGGAAAGAAGTGACAGATTACCCCTTGACGAGTTTCACCTTCTCTTGGCGCAGGTCGACGTCTCTTTCAAACCGCGTACTCTCCCTTTATTTCCATTTTCTCACTTTTACACATCGTGAATCAAGCGAACATCTTTTTGGCCGCGGGATGAGAACCTCCTGCTGCTATCTGTTGATTTAGAATAATCGCCGCTTCCAAGGCGAGAGCAAACTCCCACAGAAGGACACCGTTATTCATTACAGAGGAGCAGCAGAAAATCACGCCGCCTCATTACTCATCCTCCAACATTATGTAAACCTCGGTCCTTGATGTGCAACAAGCCACTCTCGGTAGGAAGCTTCATAAAGTAGAGATTAGACTCTTATTCATGGGAGGACAGGCGGCAGAGTGCGAGACGGGTGATTCAGGAGATATAATGATACAACCGGGGAAAGTGTGTGTGGTGTATTTGCACATGAACAACTATTAATACTATTCACTCCTGCGCCCATAACTTTAAACTTTAGATTAATTCAATTCAAGGTTTGTTTTTTGTTTCTCCTTTAATTTAAACCATGCTATTTAATGAAGTGATGAAATGCCTTAAGGCTGTGGGCTTGATAACCCTGGAAAAGGTAGCGGGCTCAGATAGAGGGGTTTGAACAAATAAGATAAAAAATGTTTCAGAAACATCTTAACAGCCATTTTCTTGGATTTCTCAGCCGGTCCTGGAGCAGGTTTCATTAACGAGTATTATAAGTTTACAATGTGGAGGAATCAACTTCGTCGGTAGCTGTCGTTAAGCACCAGACACGACTCTGGAAGTATTTGACAAACACAAACATCACACAGAGACCAGGACCAGGTTTCAGGCAGGATATTAGACGGAGCTTGTTGTGGATAACGGATTTGACTTGGCTCACGATGACCAGACCATTGTGTCCAAGTATTTTGCAATTTCATTAAGTTTGCTTATTCTGGGAAAACCCCAAAAAAGCCACAAGCTGACGTCTCTCAATTATTCAGTAATTATCCCCGTTTATTTCTGAAAACTACAGATTGTATCGCAGCCTCGAGGCCACAGGAAGCGTTTCCTTCAACGTGGGCGTCAGTGTCACGTACCCATGAGACGTTAATCCGCTGTTAAAGTTTGCATCTCCACCTGCGAAATCGGGCTCTTGTGCAAATCGGAGGATTTCAAACAGAAAATCTTCAAATAACCATCTCAGGGAAGATAAATGGATCTGTGGTGTTTGAACTGTGTGTAAAAAGTTCAAACACCAGAGGGTATCAACCAAAACCGCTGACTAAAGCAGTGTCAAGATAAGGATGGCAGTGGTCGTCCTTATCGCGCTCTACCCCTTTTTCTTATCCTGCGTTCTCTCCCCCTCCTCCCTGCACAGACTACCCATGCTCGGGGATGTTGGGGATGGTGTCGGGTCAGATCTCGGACGCCCAGATCAGCGCCTCCTCCTACGCCGACCGCGGCTGGGTTGCTGAGAATTCCCGCTTGTTGACTGGGAGGTCGGGCTGGACCGGGCAGCAAGTCAAGCAGCCCTTCAGGAACGAGTGGCTACAGGTGGGTTCAAGAGTCCGACGTCGTAGTTTGAGGATAAGAACCGAGTTTAGTGGTCGATGAGAAAGTTATTGAGCAAGATCTTGAACAGGGGTTGAAGCCCTCAGGTTGGGAAGCACAGATGTAGACACAGCTCCATAGTGTAAATCCTTTATTTATATCATAGAGCTGTTTCCAGACATGAACTCCGGAAAGTATCCAGAGGCCCTTATCACATTATCGTTTTTTCCAAGTTTCAATTTTCAGGAAAATGTCCAGACTTGATGGAGCTCTGACGGCAGCCAGTCTCAGTGGTTTTCTTTCTCGTCCTCGCCTGTAGGTGGATCTGGGCCAGAACAAGATGGTGAGCGGTGTTTTGATCCAGGGAGGGAAGCACCGCGACAGGAACGTCTTCATGAAGAGGTTTAAAGTGGGCGTCAGTCTGGACGGAGAAGAGTGGAATATTGTGAAAGAGGAAAACACCACCAGGCTAAAGGTTGGTTTATTCACACGTCTCTCAGAAAGACGATTTCCATACATGTCACTGATTTTAAATGAATTACACAGAAGAGAAGCTGAGGTGAGCTTTTGTCTTTTCTGTATTTTGAGGAGTGAGGGAATCTGTTAAATGTTGTTTAAATGTCAAAATGTCAGTTACATTATCAACCCGAAGAGATGCGCCTTTTATTTTTTTGACCTATGAATTTTTAGCAGTAATGTGGTCCACGTCACACGCAGGCGGAGAGAAGGGTCGGACGACAGGGGTTGACCCTGTAAAGATCAGCTGCCAGTCACACATCCTAAAAGTAAAAATACTGCATTACATATAGAAATGTACTTAATATATCAACAAGTGTTTCAGTCAGGAGTTCTGGAGTTAGAGTTGTGGGATTTAAATAGAAACAAAGGAAATTGAGATAATAAAATTGAATTTATTATCAACGAAAGGAAAAGACTTTGGCGCAGGAAGTAGAACATCACAGGAAGCGCTCATATGAATGTCTCATCGGACGGTTTGAATCTCATAAAATGTGAACTATCTTCTTCATCCAGTTTTTAACTCCCCCTCCCTTTTCTTTATCTTACAATTTCCACGCTCTCCGCCTCGTTCGGCGGCAGCATGTTGATGCGAGCCAACGCAGATTACCAGAAAGTAAATTACGAGATAGCCAGATGAAAGCTCGCCGTCACGACACAAACCTCCTCTGGCTGTAATCTGTAATTCCTGAAAGCCATCGTACATACGGACGCTCGACTCGCCGCTGACGCTGCTCCTGGAATGAAATGTTTCGCCAAATTACAGACTGCTTTTCATATGAACTCTGAAATGCTGCTGCCTGACGTTCTCAACTAAACCAGCGACATATGGAAAAAATAAAGCTCAAGGGGAATTAATGTTGTTGTCGCGGCAAATAATATTGAGATGCAACAAATGAATAAGAGCCAGAAGAGGAGAGAACGAGGTTACACATGAGAACAGAGCAGTGGATTTAATGAAAATCGTGAAGTCAGGACGCAGCGTCGATGTGTTCGGCACGTTTATTTATTCCTTCATTCGCCGACTGATTTCTTCTCTCACTCATTCGCCTGACATCACATCTGAGGTCCCATAATCCTCCTGTGGTGTCATTAACTTCTGCTCCGCTGCTGCAAGGACACAGTCAGAGATATTATGGAAATCAACCTGCTGACGGGTGAAAACCCAGCTAATGTGACTCCTGTGTGATTCCTTTATCAACAAAGTTCCTTCATACAATACTTCATTATTTATTCAGCAGAGAAATTCAAGGCTGTGCCTGAACTGAATTAATAGAAATGAAAATACAAACTTTTATTTTTAATCGTTTTTAACTCAACAGCACGTGGACGGATTTTCACCAAACGTGGTGTCAATATTCCGGGAGAGTTTATCTCTCGATGTAAAACTTTTACAGCTGATTGTTCGAAGGTCAAGGTCGACAAAAAACACACGTCCAACACATCTCTGCAAAAACTCCAGTCTCGCTGAGTCTAGAGCGAACACGTAAAGATGTACTGATCAGAAAACCATCCTTGATCACACGTCGACTGTGAACGCGACCAAAAAACCTAAAGATCGAAAAGATCATTTATGATTTCATGACAGGAAACCTACCGCCATGTCATGATGATGTCATTATGGGGTTTATACAGAGGGTGTGTGTCGCCCCGTCAGATGAAACATATTCTCCATATACACCAACAGACGTCAACGTGGACAGGAAGTGTCGGACCACAACACGAGGTGACATCAGAGTTCTGAGGGTCACAGACGACCACTAGAGAGACATTAGAGACACAGACTCATAGTTTCTAACCGTCCGTACGTCTAAGTGACTTTGACCCCGAGAGGAAATTCATGTCCCCTCTTCCTCTCCTCGCCCGGCCCCGTTGGTGCGACACCCTCCTCCTATGTGTTCCAGATGGCAGGGCGGAGGACGAGGTTAGCCACCAGACTCCTGCTGACTTACTGCAGACGGAGATGTAGATGCTCCTCTGTCGCTCCGCTCGGCCTCTTCGCTCTGTTTCCTGTGTCTTTTTTTATAAAACCTCTTCAAAAGACGAGGAAGGAAGGAAGGCTCAGTGAGGCCCGGGCCGCTCCACATGGATTTAACACACACACACACACACACACACACACACGCATGTACATAATGTATGTGCTCATGCATAAAGATGAGTGAATATGTGGCGTGAGACCATCCAGAGGGTAGAAACCCTGAAAGAGGGGCTGTTAGAAAGATGTTGATGAAGCTCAAGATTTCAAATGAACATTAAAGAAAACACAATCTACATTATAAGTAAGACGGATGCTCTTTAAGGAATCAAACTTCTAGTTGTGCTATCGTATGATGAAGCTCTGTGAAGGCCTTTCTTGGAAATATCATAGAGATTTACACATCAGCTGACGTTTCTAGAAAATTAGCCGGAAAACATGGAACCTTGTGATTCTCCCACGCAGTTTATTCACTGTGAAAATGAGTTAATATGGAAGTGTTGAAAGATGTGACCGCTCCCCATATAGGTCATGAACCCTGCCTCCTCCAGGTTAGTGGATGGGACATGGACCAAACCAACAAGTCGGAGTTCACATCAAATACGTTTTTCTCAAAGATGTTTCATTGTCATGTTAGGATGTTCTGATCACACTGGTGTTTGCTGAAGTCTGAATAAGTTAATTGATGATGATCAGTGTCAGGACCTGCAGCTGAGACCGACTCGTCACTGTGACCTCGATACCGGTCTGTGATATAAACAGGGAAAGTTCTCATATGGTGATTTTTTTTTTTTTTTTTTTTACAAAACACATGTTTTTCCCATTCAACTGAAACCAGATACTGTGATGTCACATACCTGCTGGTAGATAATAAAGATAAGTGTGACAGCGTCGACACTCAGGGGCGATTTAAAGTATTTTCATTCACTCTCATCCTCCCTCATAGTGCCACACTGCAGCCTTTAATAAATCACACACAGGGAAACTTTAGCCGCTCAGACAGAGTGAGTGTATTCGGTGTCCGACCACTTGGCTCCTGGAGCGACAGTAAACGTTTTCATCTGTGCTGCTTCATGTTGGGACGATGAAAGGATGAACTCTGGTTCTGATTTCCTGCCGTTTGCTTTGGTTTCCTCCTTTCATTTCGTCTCAGCCTCTTATCAAAGCGCCTGATCAGAAGCAGACTCAGATCTGAACAGTGTTATCAATTGTTTCATTTACGTCCGGCACAGGACGAATAAGTTTAACTCTCTGTTTGAACAAAAATAGAAAAAGATGAAGACGAGTCCATTTCTTTTCCCCGTCCCTCGGACAGAAGAATTGTTTTTCTACTTTCATGTTCTTTCATTATTATTCGTCGTTCTTACGCTCATAAGAAAAGTCTGAACTCTACTTTAATTAGTTTCGTTTCTGTGTTTTCCCTCAGATATTCGCTGGGAATCAGAACCACGACACCCCAGAGCTGAGGTCCATGGGTCCGTTCCTCACACGCTTTGTCAGGATCTACCCGGAGAGGGCCACCACCGAGGGCCTGGGCCTGCGACTGGAGCTGCTGGGCTGCGAACTGGAAGGTTAGTCAGTTAATGAGTTAACGCGACACTGAATTAAATGTCACGTGACATCGTGATTCCTCGGATGTTCTGCTACTGACGAGGTGTTTCCGCAGCGTGTTGAGAGGAACTCCCTTTTCCACAGACTCTTTAACTTTTACATTCACAAAAAACATTTATAACAAACTAAAGGAGAGAAAAATATAATTTGTCTCCTTTAAAATCTGCTTCACACTTCAACACGCATCAAAAGAGAAATTAAATCTTTACTCCTAAATGTGATCAACCACTGCCTGGAATCTATCGTGGTGTAAAGAGGAAGTTGGAGCGAATACAAAGGTCTAAAGTACAAACTGTACATGTGTAAAACTTTGCATTTAAGTAGGACAAGTTTAAACTGGATCCGATTACTGGGGGAAACTTGACTGTCGGCCCCTTGAAGGTAATTTGTCTCAGCACATTATGTTTTTAATATCACTTTGTTAGACCAGGGCTGAAATTAAAGCGGAACACTCCTGTGGTTTCTGGCCTCGACCGAGTTGCTCTTGGTGCAGAACAACGCTCAGCTTTCACAAACCATAACCAAGAACAGAACGACGCAGCTGAATTACAGTTAGTGACGCTTCACCTTAGATGGTCGAGATGACTCCGGGAACACGGCGGTTACAGCTGCTGCGTATGAGGGGGTTTTTTTTGGGGGAGGGGCATCGAGCAGCAACTGAGAGTAGACATAAAAACAATACATACACTTCTATTTGTTCTATACGAGGACACACAGCAGATAATGAAAGCTGGGAAAACTGTCCATACTCTAACTTCTTAACCATGTTCATGGACAGAAAACAGACTGTGACTCAGTGTGTTTTATTCTAATGCACTCAAATCTATGAGGAAAACAGCAGAAAGCCATGAAAGGTGTAAAACACAACACCCACACGAGGTATTTGACAAGCGTCTCGAACAATGGAGACTGTGCTTCCATAAAGAACGACCCCGTAGTTACGTTTTATTGTCGAATGACCTCGAGCAGGCGTGTGAGACGACGTCAGGGCTTTTCAGCAGAAGCCGTAAAACAACATTATTACGTTCAAGTGACCGAAGTAACTGTGACGGGAACAAAAGAAGAAGTCAGGTCATAGAAATGAATGGACGGACAAATCATGTGACCTTTGGCCAAGACTGATTGAAAAGTATAAAGATGCTGATGCATTAAATAAATGGGAATTATTTTGAAGATGACATACACTTGATTTTCAGTTACTTAAAAAAGCACAAATACATCCAAATATATCAAACTTGAATCAGGAACATAAAATTTTTTTACGTAAAATGTAAAACTTAATCTTTTATATTGGCAAACATTAACGATGTTAAATCCTCATATCTGTTTATTTTTATGGTCCAACTGATAAAACTCTAATCAAGAGTCAACGTGGCGTCTTCGTGTTTTTTTATTAATAGCTGTTACTGTTTTTTTCCATTGGTTTTGGGTTAATATTCACAGTAACATTTGGGGGAAATTCAGAGAGGAGATAGAAGACATGAGCTCAATATCCGACATGTCATGTGACACCACTGCTGACGAACATGGACGTAGACTCCTCCCCTCTGGGATTTCCCTGTGACGCTGGCGATTCCATGGCGCCTCAGACCTGTGGAGAATTGAGTCTGTAATTCAGGTTTCAGTTAAAACCATGAGGCTTTCTCTGAGTGCGTCCAGATGAAAGACGTCAGTGTGGATCTCATCCACCTCTGAGCCGCTCCACCTCAGTTGTTCCAAGTCACAAGCTACGAAATGTGAGAGGAGAGGCCTCACATCAAAAACATTTTGTGTTACTAAACGTCTTCAATAGGCGAGTCGTGTTTTTTTTTTTTATAGATGTATTTATATTCCTGTGTACGTGGCCTGAAATCTCACATTTCAGGCTGTTTATCTGCTGTTTGTTGTAATGAGGGAGAGAGTGTGTGAGAGGATGAAGAACATTATCTCTACTACTGCAGTGGTCAGAGAGGGGGGGAGGGAGGGAGAGATAGGCGGGGGGGGCTGCTGATAAGAATAAGGGGAGCAACTGTATGTGTGTGTGTTTGTTCAGAATCACTCAGCAGTTATTTCTACATAT